AATCAATTAAAACAGCTGAAGTAATTCATCCCCCACACTTTTGAAAAGCTTGCTACGCCCCTGGGTGGGAGCCTCTTCCCATCGTACAGGTCCCTCTCTGCCCCCCCCGGCATCCTGAGCTGCAGGCCAGGTTATAACCAGCTTAACCCCTGCCCGCTTGCAGACCTCATACAGGTTACAGTCTGCCTGAGAACCTGTATCTGTCGTGCTAGGGGGTCGGGGCAGGGAAGGTGGAGTCATCCTCCTCCTCTTCCTCTATATCACCCATATTGAGGAGGTCAGAGTCGGCGCTGCCCTCTGCGTCCTTGTCATCCTGCCTCTAGGGAAGGCAAACCCTCAAACAGAGGAGGCAAGTCCGGGGATTCAGTCTCCATCATATCCGCCCAGCTCGTAGAAGCTCGTGGGAGATGGGTAATAGTGGCCTGGGGAGTGGCTTTGGACGGGCCCGGGGCCTGTCTGTTAGCCATGGCCATTCTCAGCCTCCGCTCACGGATTTTCTCCGGCACCGAGGTACAGTGGACGCAAGTCTGCGGGTCCACTAGCGATGTCTGAGCGTGACTACCGCCCATGCATACTATGCAAAGAGGGTGAGGTTCCCTGCCCAAGATAGTGGCTCCGCATGACGCGGGACACGGGTGGGATGAGGTTTCACCGTCTTTCAGCTCATGCCCTTTGGCGGGGGTAATGGCCGTTGACATAGCGCACTGAGGGGAAGGAGGCGGACAGCGGGAAAGCGTAGAACCGAGAAAGACTCGTCACGACACGTTAGTCTGTCGGTTCATCGCGTATCCAGACGGGCTGAAAAGGGGAGTCACTCGGAGCGTGCGCGAAATGCCGGTTAACCCGCAAATCTAATGGCACAGAAGGCTCGCCTTGACGCTTTTAGCCCGCGCAACAGGTGGATACAACCACACCAGTAGTAAAACTGTGCTTACCGAGTGACTTGACGGATAGCTCGCCTTGACGCAGTAGCCAATCCGGCAATGCTGACCGAACAGCGAGAAGAACTTTCTCAACATGGGAATAACTCAGCCCATTACAGCCCTAGAGCTAAAATTGCGTTCGTCGACGGACTCCAACAACAGGCCGTCTGCGATCAGTTAAGCGAGATCAGCTTACTAGCCTGGCTGAGGGAGCTTCTAGTTCCTCACGGGAAGACTGCGCGGATGAGCCATCAGGGAGGTCAACCGCATTAATAGGGAAGGGGCGGAGCCTGGTCGCAGGTCGACCTGTCCATTACAGACGGACGTGGTGTCATTGGAGCTTCCGTAGTTGGTCACGCCCAAAGCGATTCCCATAGTGAAACACCGAGCGAAGTTAGAAAAAGAACTATTCTCACAGCAGTTTTAAATCCTGGGTCCGACGTGCTGTATAATGTATATCCTAAATCGCAATTTTTGCGACTTGCTAATCGCGTTGTTTCAAATCGCGATTTCGATCTGAAATCGATAAATCGTCCAGCCCTAGTTAAATGTTTAATCACATGCCACTGCAGACATCAAGATGTCAGAATCTTTTAAGCACTTGTCCTTATTCTTAT